TTTCTTGGTTAGCTGGTTGGTTTGGGAGTGTTTTGTGCTAGGGATTGGACCTAGGGCCTCTGAGTATGCTAGGCCAGCCCTTTTTTTGGGGGGGGGTGTTTTTGAGACAGGGTCTCCCTGTAGCCCCAGCTGGCTTGGAACTCCCTATGTAGACCAGGCTGGCCTCGAACTCACAGAGCTATAGATATCCGGCTAGGCCAGCACTTTTATCACAGAGCTACATCCCCTCTTTTACTTTTTGTTTTGAGACAGGGTGTCACTAAGTTGCCCAGGCTGGCCTTGGACTTGTGATCTTCCAGAATAGCTAGTATTAACAGGCCTGCACCACAGGTTTGTGAAATTCGGTTTTTCATTTTCTGGCAGCTCTGTTATCTTAAGTCTTCATGGAGAATGAGATCTTAGTATTTTCTGTATTTAATACAGAGAGAGCAAACTATGGTGGTAGCTCATGCCAACATCTGAGAGGCTGAGGCAGGAGGACCACGGTGGGTTCAAGGCCACCCTGGGCTGTTACATAGTTTCAGGACAGCCTGGCTACAAAGTAAGTCTCAAAAAACCAAAACCAACACTCGGGAGGCAGGTGGATCTCTGTGAGTTCAAGGCCAAGGCCAGCCAGGTCTACATAGTGACTGCCAGGTCAGATGGGCTACAGAGAGGCCCTGTCTCAAAAAGACCAAAAACAAACAAACAAACAAAACAAAACAAAAAATTCAGAGACAGCACATAAAATCTGAGGATGGGACAAGTATGCCAAAGTCAACTATTTTTACTTTGCCACTAAGACAAACTGAGTGTGTATTAGTAAATTCTGTTGGCTAATAACAAAGAAGTTGTCAACAAGAATTCAAAGTCCCATCCATCCATCCATCCATCCACAATCTGAATGGCCAGACATTGGAAAAATAGGTATGGTCCATTTTATGGAAACCTCTAAGACAGCCATTAGCCTTTTACTCCAATATCAGTTCAGGGGGCTGAGATGACTCAGCAGGTAAACGTATAAGGTTGTGTAAGGCTGATGACCTGAGCTAGATCCCTGGAACCCACAGAAGGAAAATAACTGACTCCCTAAAATTGTCACCTGACTTCCATATGTGAGGTATAGAAGATATACTTAAAAGGGGGGTGAAAATCTACCAATTCTAATACTATCCTCACCTCCTGCCCTCCAAAGAGGGACCAAGTGGAAAACCAGAAATGGCTGAAGATCTTCCACTACCATGAAGCTTCATTAAGCAGCAACTAGTTCAAATACTGGGGCATCCCCCACCCTTTCTTTTACGACAGGGGTCTCACGGAGCCTAGGCTGGTCTTGAACACCTGATGCTCCAGTCCCCACCTCCCAAGTGCTGGAATTATAGGTGTGTACCAACACACATGAACATAGCTGAAACTTTCTAACATACAACTTTCCATGTATGTCTAACAGGCACCTAAGGACGGACAGAGACACTAATTTCTTGATTGTAGTCATCTATTCCAAAACCTTAGACCTTTTGGAACTATTGTAAACTACCGACATGATTCTTTTTTAAAAATATTTAATTTCATGTGCATGAGTGTTATGCCTACATGTATGTAAGTGCACCTGTGTTGTGCACTACCCATGGAGGCCAGGTGAGGGTGTCAGATCCCCTGGAACTGGAGTTACATAGTTTTGTTAGTCACCATGTAGGTGCTGGAAATTGAACCTGGGTCCTCTGCAAGAGCAGTCAGTGCTCTTAACCACTGAACCATCTCTACAGTTCCCTGGACATGAACACAATTGAAAACAATAGCTTACTCCTGGCTGGAAGTTCTAGTATGACTCCTTTTTTTTTTTTTTTTAATTTTTTAAATTTATTTTTATTTTATGTGTATACGTGTATTGCCTGCATGTAGGTAAGTACACCTGTGTCGTGCAATGCCCAAGGAGGACAGAAGAAGCTATCAGATCCCCTGGAACTAGAGTTATAGACAGTTGTGAGCTGCCATGTGGATACTGGGATTCAAACCCAGGTCTTCTGCAAGAACAACCAGTGTTCTTAACCGCTGAGCCATGTCTCCAGACTCATGATTCATTTTTTAAAACTAATTTTTTGTGGTACTAGGGATTTATCCTATCTCACATCCTACGTTAACTTATTTATGCATTTTAAAATATTTAATTATTATTTTATTTATGTGTATGAGTGTATTGCCTGCACGTGTGTAACTGCACAAGTGTTGTGCAATGTCCTCGGAGGTCAGAAGAGGACGTTAAGAGTCCCTGGAACTGGAGCTATGGATGGTTGTTAGAGGCCATGTGGGTGCTGAGAATTGAACCTGGGTCCTCTGCAAGAACAACCAGTGCTCTTAACCTTTGAGCTATCTCTCCAGCCCCCACTTAGGCATTTTTACAACTTCATCACCTTTTGTGAGACCACTAACATTCCTACCTAAAAATGTATGAACTAGTTTTGAATTAAAGCAAGAGCTTGGAATTTTTTTGAGTATGTATGAGTATATTGCCTACATGTAGGTAAGTGCACCCACATCATGCAGTGCCCATGGAGGTTAGAAGAGGGCATCAGATCCCCAGAACTGGAGTTAAGGACAGTTATTAGCTACCATGGTGCTGGGAATCGAACCCAGGTCCTCTGCAAGAGCAGCCAGTGCTCTTAACCACTAAGCCATCTCTCTCGCCCCACTTGGACTTTTTTAAAATGTCTTCCCAGGGAACCCCATTAGTGTTTTGTTTTTTAAAAAAAAAAAAAAAAAACTACTGAGAACCTGGGCCAGAATCCTGTAGCCCCAGAACTCAGAAGGCTGAAGCAAGAGGATTGCTGGTGCTCAGAAATTCCAGACTAGTTTGGCGACAACAAAAAAACATAAAAATCAGGTCTAGTGGTTCAGGTCTGTAATCCCAGCTACTTGGATGTGGAGGCAGGCAAGATCAAGAGTTCAAGGCTAGTGTGGGTAACTCACAAAAGCCTGTCCCCCAAAAAGGCTGAGGATGCAATTCAGTGTAGATTGCATGTGCAAGGTTCTCAGTACCACAAAACAAAATGGGAAAATGAATTTCATTCTTCACATGCTACTTATTTAAAATAAAAATTACTGGAGCTGCACAGATGGCTCAGCAGTTAAGGGCACTAGCTGCTTTTGCAGAGGACCTCAGATTGGTTCCCAGCACCCATATGGCAGCTACCAACTGTCTGTAACTCCAGTTTCAGGGGATTGGAAGCCCTCTTCTGAGTTCTGCAGGCATTGTGTGACACAGGTATACTTTACACCCATGCAGGCAATACACTCATACACATAAAATAAAAATAAATAAAATATTGGGGCTGGAGAGATGGCTCAGCAGTTAAGAATACTAACTGTTCTTGCAGAAGACCTGGGTTTGAATCCCAGCACCCACATGGCAGCTAACAACTGTCTTTAACTCCAGTCCCAGGCAATCTGACAGCCTCTTCTGACCTCTGCAGGCATTGCAAGACACAGGTGCACTTACCTACACGCAGGAAATACACACATAAAAGAAATATTAAAAACAAAAAATATTGTCTATGTATGTGTGTGTATGCTCACAACACGGCTTGCCTGTGTGTGGAAGTCAGAGGACAACTACCTTTACATACATGGGTTCTGGGGGGCAAACTCAGGACTCCAGGGTTGCCCTGTACCTTTACCTGACAAGCCATTCTGCTGGCCGTACCTACGCTATTCTCCCCATTACTAGGCAAAGAGTGGCTTTTTTTGTCTACCCTTTCCTCAACTCCCTATATAGCTAAGGAAGGCCCTGAACCTCCGCTCCCCCTGCCTCAGGTACAGGCCACGACACCCAGTTTATGCGATAGTGGGGACGGAACCCAAGGTTTCCAGTATGCTGGGCAAACTACTAAGTTACATCCCAGCCATCCCTTTTCTCTACTACATTTTACGTTCCTACTGTCGGGAGGCCTTACCTAAGAGCTCCTCCACCTCTAGCCAAGGTCAAGCAATGTCTGACCCTCCTCCTTCCCCTCCCCGATTTATTCAATAAATTTCCTCCCTTTTTAGTACTCTACGGGTGGCCCTGCGCCCTCGTCCAATTTAGTGGAAGTCACTTTTTCGTGATCCTGGGAAGAGCAATTTCTCTTACTGTGACAGTAGGAACCAATAGCCTCAGGTCACTTTTCTTTTTTATAAAATTTAATTTGATTTATGAAGACAAAGTCTTTCTATGTAGTCTTGGGTGGCCTCGAACTTGGGGCAGTCCTCCTGCCCCGGGCGACTGCAGGGGTGCCTGGCTTCTCAGGTTACATAGGCCTTACCTAAGAGCTCCTCCACCTCTAGCCAAGGTCAAGCAATGTCTGACCCTCCTCCTTCCCCTCCCCGATTTATTCAATAAATTTCCTCCCTTTTTAGTACTCTACGGGTGGCCCTGCGCCCTCGTCCAATTTAGTGGAAGTCACTTTTTCGTGATCCTGGGAAGAGCAATTTCTCTTACTGTGACAGTAGGAACCAATAGCCTCAGGTCACTTTTCTTTTTTATAAAATTTAATTTGATTTATGAAGACAAAGTCTTTCTATGTAGTCTTGGGTGGCCTCGAACTTGGGGCAGTCCTCCTGCCCCGGGCGACTGCAGGGGTGCCTGGCTTCTCAGGTTACATTTCTAAAACACTTACAGCAAAGCCCGAGCCTGTCCCTTTGCCAACTTCCTAGAGTGTTTCTTCTTGGGCTTGATCCCGGGGTCTCCCCGTCGATCCAAACAGTTCTCTCCGGATCTCAAAATACGGTCCCTCTCTCCCCAGAGTCGGCTCCCCAGGAACCACTTCCGAAGCCCGCTCAGGATTTCCCGCCCCGCCCTCCCTGCACATCTGTGGCAAGATTCAGATCCCGCGTGCGTGGCGAGCTCAGCGCGGGAAGCGGAGCCGCACAGCGCCGGAGCAGACCTCACCCCCAACTCCGTGCGGTCGCCGCCAGAGCGCGCTCAGGGCCCGCGGCCTCCCACCACCGCCGCGCCCCCTCCCCCCTCCTCCAACTGGCCTCTTCACCTCACAGCAGCGCCCAAGTGTCCGACAGGAATTGGTGCCGCGCCACAGGCGCGTTGAGTCGGGAGGTCAGAGGGAGCAGCACTCAGGGAAAGAAGCAGTGTGGCTGCAGTTGCGCCTCTAGCTGAAGACGCGTACTGCAGGCCCGGCCAACGGCCCTCCCCTCAGCCGAACAAAAGAGCCTCTCACTCTGCGCTGCCCGCCGCCCGCACTGCGCAGACGCGACGACCTGCCGCAGGGCACGCTGGGACCTGGAGTCTGCCCAAGACTACAAGTCCCAGAGCCCCAGGCCGTCCGCACCACTTTTGAAGGTTGTGGGAGGTTTTCATTTTTTTAAAACTGGAACGTCAGAGTTGCGTGTAGTTTGGAATGCTGCAGTCTAGAAAATAAGCCTTTTGTTTTAGGACCGGGATGTAGCCCAGCTCGCCTCGAACTCGTGGCACTTCAGCCTACAGGTGCTGGAATTACCGGGCTGTGCCCCGTTGCCTGGTTCAGCCTACAAAATGAGGCGTGCGTTTCGAAAGTAGCCTCTGGATGCTTGGTTCAAAAACCATCCACTTCTGGGCAGTTCTGTAATTAACATCCTCTGCATTTAAAGAACAAGTGTTAGCAGATTCCTTATCTGAACTTTATCAAATCTCCACCTTCTGTAATGTCGAGTAATTTGTAATTTTCAGTCTGCACCTGTTTGAATCGAAAATTCTTACCTTCAGCATTGAAATGACTTCCCCCTTGAGGCGGCTCGTCCTTATCCCTTCCTCCCCTTTTAAAGTAAGTTAAGTCCTTCCGTTCCCCTTTCCTCGCCCCGCAGACATAGTAACTTGCTGAATTTTCTCTTTTCTTCCTCTATTTCCCTTCTCCCCTTTTACTTTTCCGCTCCTCCCATTCTTTCCTCTGTTTCTGTTTTATTGCTGTTACTGGGGGGTTTATTTTGGGGAGGTGTTTGTTTTTGTTTTGTTTTTTTATTACTTTTCTTTTTTGAGACAGGGTCTTTGCTTGGTAGCCCTCGTCAACCGTGAACTGATCCTCCTGCCTACACCTTCCATGTCCTGGGGTGTATATATAAGCATGTGCCACCACGCTATGACATTTCACAGTTTTCATTGCCCGTACTAGTGGATGACTTGTGTAGATTCCTCCGTCGCCACGGACACCTCAAAGAAACAGATTTTGCAAAAAACCTTGCTTTGTTTTCCTTTAAGACAGTGCGCTAGTTCCTCAGTTTCTACTAGATTCCTGTTATCTTTTGAACTGTAAACTACAGTAAGGCTAGAAACCCTGCTTTCTGTGGTTTATTGTACCCTCAACACCCAGTACTGTCTGGTATAACCGTAGTAAATCGGTATTTGTGCTAGCATGCACTTGCCTGTTTTTTGTCCCTCACTATTGGTAAAAATTCGTTAAGTAATTGAATGAATAAGATATCAATCAACGTTTCCAAGGCCAGGTGCGATGGCTCACGCTCATTAATGCTACTAACACTCAAGAGACAAAGCTAGAGGAATTGCTGTGAGCTTTAAGAACAGGCTGGGCTACAACATACGAACCTGTCTTAAAAAACCAAAACAACCTTCCTTTTCAAAAAAACTAAGAGGATAGAAAAAGAAAAAAGAAGCCTAGCCCAGCAGTATCATTAAAAACAAAACAAAAAACCTTTAGGTAAGAGAACAGTTCTTCCTGAGAGTATTTAGATTGAGTCTCCAAAAATAGACATTTTTTTTTTTTTTTTTTGGTCCTTTTGAGACAGGGTCTCCCTTTTAGCCTCAGCTGTCCTGGAACTCACTATGTAGACCAGGCTGGCCTTGAACTCACAGAGCTCCACCAGCCTCTGCCTTCCAATTGCTGGGATTAAAGGCGTGCACCACCACGCCTGGCCTTTTTTTTTGAGACAGGGTCTCACTATGCAGCCCTGGATGACCTGGAACTCTGTGTAGCCTAGGCTGGCCTCCTTGATCTCATAGAGAACCACATCCCTCTGCTTCCTGAGTTGCTGGGATTAAAGGCATACAGTGAACTCAATCCTTCCTGAAGTGTATTGTTTTGGATAATTTTAATATTAATTATCCAAATAACTAGTATTACAGAATATTAGTTATACTATTAGCTATTTCTTTTCTTATATAGTGCTGGGTATCAAACCTAGGGCCTTGTGTATGATAAAACAGCATTTTACCAATGAGTTACATTCCCAGCCTGAGATATTATCCAATATGTACCCCAGGGCTAAGAATTCTGGTTTGTTTCTTTTTGAGCTTGGTATTGAATCCAGAACCTTGTGCATAATAAGCAAGCACTCCACAGCTAGGCTCCACCCCTAGCCTGTCCACTTCAGGTTAAATTCTTTTTTTGCTGTTTTGTTTTTGTGTTTGGAGACAGGGTTTTCTACACAGAGCAGCTTGGCCTTGAATTCTCTGACTTCGACCAGCTTCAGCCAGCAGAATGCTGACATTACAGGCATGGCACCACCACTCCAGCCACTCTGTGTTGAGCTCATGATTGGAAGTGGGAATTAGATTTCCAAGTTTATCTTATTTTTAACTCCAAATCATGATCCTGTCTGTATCAAATGCTGTCATCTCTGTCTCCACATTAAGCTGAATTCTCCTGTCCAGATTAATGCTATTTTTCTTCCTCTTGGTTCTGTAGCCACACAAAGTAAACCTAATCCTTCTTTCATATAATCCATCTAGTATTAATAGTCAAATTCTGAATTCTCTAAAGTATCAATCTTCTAGGTAAATGTCACTATTTTCTTAAACTGAGTATCATTGGACAACCATTTCAGATATAGTTTGTTAATAAATTCTGACTCATATGCATATTTTAAAGTACTATTCTTGAATTAAGGGAGCCAAAGCTCATTTTAAGTTTCTAGGTAGTGAGTCACTGTTGGTTTGATTATCTAGAAATCTGCCAGGAGTGGAGCCAAATGCACAAACCTGAAATTTCTGTTTAACAACATTCATTTTGAAAAATTGTAGTGTGGGGCTGGAGAGATGGCTCAGCAGTTAAGAGCACTGACTGCTCTTGCAGAGGACTGGGTTTGATTCCCAGCAGCCACATGGTGGCTACGAACTGTCCTTAACTCCAGTTCCAGGGGAATCTGAAGCCCTCTTCTGACCTCCGAGGCATTGCATAGCATGGGTGCACTCATACATGCAGACAATACACTGGTACACATAAAATAAAAATAATAAAATATTACCCGGGCATGGTGGCACACGCCTTTAATCCCAGCACTCGAGAGGCAGAGGCAGGCAAATCTCTGTGAGTTCAAGGCCAGCCTGATCTCATAGTGAGTTCCAGGACAGCTGGGGCTACAGGGAGACCCTGTCTCAAAAAGACCAAAGAAGAAAGAAAAAAGAAAAATTGTAGTGTTCTGTAATCCCAGCACTCAAGAAGCAGAGGCATGAAGATTGCCACAATTTTGAGGTCAATATGATCTACATAGTGAATTTTAGGCTAGCCAGGGCTACATAGTGAGACCCTGTCTCAGGGTTGGGAGGGGCACAGGAGACAGAGAGAAGGAGAGGAAATTGCTTGGGATTAAATTGGTTTACTTTTTTTCTCTTCCCTTAATAGTTGTGGGATTTTGTTTGGGGTAGTGGCATATACCTGCAATCCCATCACACTGTCTCATAAAACAAAACAAATCGCAAGTAATCTGAAAAAGTGAAAAAGTCTGATGTTGCAAAAAGAACCAGGGGTTCTAGGAATCAGCAGGAACTCTGCTTTGTTCGCTGTCTAACATTAGACAAGCTGTTTAACCTCTGAGCCCATGAACATCCAAAAATCATGAAAATATTATTGTACACTTACTTTATAACATGTCTGCAGAATGAAGAAGAATGTTGACAGTCGGCAAACACTAGCATTTTTTTTTTTTTTTTTTTTTTTTTTTTTTTTCAGGGTGTCTCCCTGTAGCCCAGCTGTCCTGGATTCGCTATAGAGACCAGGCTGGCCTTGAACTCACAAAAATCCGCCTGCCTCTGCCTCCCAAGAGCTGGGATTAAAGGTGTGTGACACCACGCCCAGAAATACTAGCTATTTTTAGATACATTAACTATCTTCTAAGATGTAATTTAAAGACTGAGGAAGCACAGAACCTTTTATTTTATTACATCTTTATTTTTATATTTTTATTTTATGTATATGAGTGTATTGCCTGCATGTGTGTAAGTGTATCTGTGTTGTGCAATGCCTGTGGAGGTCAGAAGAAGGTGTCAGATCCCCTAGAACTGGAGTATTTTTTTTTTTTTGGTCTTTTTGAGACAGGGTCTCCCTGTAGCCCCAGCTGTCCTGGATTCGCTATGGAGACCAGGCTGGCCTCAAACTCACAGAGATCCAGCTGTTTCTGCCTCCCCAGTGCTGGGATCAAAGGTGTGCACCACCATGCCAAGCAAGGGCAGTTTTTAGCTGCTGTGTGGGTGCTGGGACTTGAACCTGGGTCCTCTGCAAGAGCCAGTGCTCTTAACCACTGAGCCATCTCTCTAGCCTCTTCTTTCTTTCTTTCTTTCTTTCTTTCTTTCTTTCTTTCTTTCTTTCTTTCTTTCTTTCTTTCTTCTTTTTCTTTCTGAGAGAACTGAAACCCCTTATGTAGACCAGGCTATCCTGAAATTCACAGAGATTGGTTTGTCTCTGCCTCCCAAGTGCTGGGATTTAAAAGTATGGGCCACTGGGGGCTGGAGAGATGGATCAGCAGTTAAGAACGCTGGCTGTTCTTGCAGAAGACCTGGGTTCGAATCCCAGCACCCACATGGCAGCTAAGAACTGTCCATAACTCCAGCCCCAGGGGATCTGACAAGCCTCTTCTGTCCTCTGCGGGCATTGCATGACATGGGTGAACTTACCTACATGCAAGCAATACATACATACACATAAAAATAATAAAATATTTTTTAAAAAAAATATGTGCCACCATACCTGGCATTTAAAACTTTCTAAACATTTTCATCAGCACCTTTGGGAATTCTTGGTTTCCCTTGAACTATTATTTTCTTTTCTTTTGGTTTTTGAGGCTGGTTCTCTTGTAGCCAGGACTGGCTTCAAATTTACTGTGATCCTCTGACCTTTTACCCCCAGAGTGCTTCAATTATGGGGGAGTAGTTGGGACTACTACTTGAAATACCATTGTTAAAGATTTATTCATTTGGGGGTTAACAAGTGTTCTTTTAAAAGGCAAATATATTTAAGGAGTTTTTCTTTTCTTTCTG